CGGGTTGGTTCGCCGGCCGACCCTCCCCCCCCCCCCCCTCCACTCCCCGTCCCCCTCCCCCCTCTTCCCCCCCTCACAGACACATCCCAAACCACACCACACTCCTCCGCGCAACAGAATGTCCGAGCCAAGCGAGCTACTTGTGCTGGAACGCGATGTCGTAGTCCGCATCGCCCGCGACCCGTGCTCGCCTGCGGCAACAGAGGCGGCTGAGGAGCTGGACGAGGCGGCGGCTGTGGCCGCGACGGTGGCATCGGGCGAGGCGCAGGCGCACCTGCTTCCACTGCATGTGTGGGACAGGGCACTCGATGGGGAGCTGCTGCTGCCAGCGACACTGCTGTTGTCACATGATCAGCTGCCGCCGGTTCATATCGTCCTCACCGCCGCCCTTGCAGCCATGGCCCGTGCCGCACCTGCAGAGACCCTCGCCCGAGCCGCCGCCGAGGGCACGCCCACCGTGTTCCGTTCCGAGGCCGTAGCTGCACTTACCATCGCCGCGGACGCCATGGCTGCCGACTCGCCGCCGCTCCAGGCTGCCCGTGCCCGCATTGCCTGGCTTGCGGTGGCCATCGTTCAGACTGCCGCTGCCTTTGTCGGCGATCTTGTCGCCGACATGGCTGCCAGCGAGCCGCACGGCACACTGCGCTCGCGGGCCTCGGCCGCCCTCGTCGAGGCATGTGCCATCGAAGACGCTGTTGTCTCGCTGGCCGTGGACGAGCCGCGCCCGGCCATGGAGGCTTGGCTGGCAGCAAGCCTCGACCTGCAGGGCACCATCGCCGCTCTGGCAGAGATCTGGGCCGCAGAAACGGCGGCTGCCCTCGCGCCGGACCTCTCGCTCGACGCGCTCTCGGCCGCGTTTACCCCGCCCGTTCCGGGCCATCCCATCATTTCCGCTGCCGTCACTACCGCAAAGCTCATTTCCCAGGCCCGCTCGGGCTGACGGTCAACGCCTCGAGAATGCCGTCGCAGTTTGTGAGCGCAGAGTGGAGCACAGCTGCGAGCTTGGGGTCGGCCTTTGCCTCTGCATCTCGGCCCTCGGCCCTCGCTCCCGCGCCTGTCGCAGCAACCTCGAAGATCGGGCTCGGACTTGTCTGTCGCTCTCCGAGCCTCGCCTGCAGCTTGGCCACGCGAGCCACCATCCGCGCCGCCTCGGCAAGCAGCGAGTCGTCGTTGCTCTCGTCAATCTCGTCGTCGCTCTCACCGTCCGACGCCGCAAACGCCGACGCGTCCCACTCGCCGCTGGCTTCGCTACTGCCATTCAGAGTGCTGTGCCCCAGCGAGCTGATACCCGAGAGATCGTCAGCCGGCAACGACGAAATGTCAATAAACGGGTATGACAAGCAGTCCGCGTCGCGCCAGTGCGCCGAGGATCCACTCCTGGGCCCGCAGTCCATGACGTCATAGTCGTCATCGTCGTCGCCCACGCCCCCGCCAGCGCCAGTACCACCGAGCCCCACACTGCCGGTCGACTCTAGCTCCAGTGATGAGACCGAGAACAGCGTCGACGAGTACGGATACAGCGCTGTCGCCCGAGCCTCGTCGTCAAAGATCAGCACCGAGCTGCCGTCGGCAGCCACCTGTGCGCTCCCAGCCTCAGCCAGGACCGAGGCCACCAACCGTGAGCCCAACGCATGCAGCGACTCGTCGGCCTCGACAACCTCGGCCTCGAGCACCCCGTCTCTGTCCGCCAGCATTCGCCCGTCGTCCCAGCGGCGGCCATACTGCCCGTCGGCCGCCGCGTTGTGCGCCTCGTCGACGCCTCTCCCGCCGCTCCTTCCACCGGCCTCGCTGCTCGCACACGGCGCCGGAAAGCTCGCCATTTGCAACTCCCGTGCGTCCTGCCCCGTAATGAGCCGGATGACCCGGTCGAGGTCACGTGGAGAGGTCAGCACAAACCTCATGCGTGTGCTCCTCGTCGTCGGCGTCTTCTGCGTCAAGTGGCGCCAAAACCATTGCCACCACCTCAACGAGTGACAATCATGGTCTGGCGGAGAACAGAAGGTGGAGAGTCAGATGCAGTAGAAGGGGCGGGCGGATGAGACAAGGTGATGTGACAGAGACGTTGTCCCAGAGGAGAGAGACGTTTAGACACGGTCCGATGGGCAGGCAGTGTGGCGGATGCTCTCAGAGGTGCCTCTACCAGAGTGAGGAAAGTGAGGCAGTGTCAACGATCAACGAGCGACGAAAATGCTGTCCACTTTCAGAGCCATTTGCTTGTTGATGTAAGAGAGACCAAGTATGTAAGGAGAGAGAGCTCTGTTCTTCGTCGCTATCACTTCACCACACCCTCTACCCCCCAGATCTACTCTCACGTGAGCTCAACAGATGGTTTCTACTCTTGTGATTCGCTTCGATTTCGAATGCCAGGGAGGCGCCAAAGGCTGGACATCAGACACCAGCAGCTGCACTTTGATCACGACTTTGCCTTGTTCTCCTTCTTGGCGCGCTGCTTGGCGGATGGTCCCGGAAGCTTGGCAAACTCATAGGTGCCCTCGATCGTGGTGGCGTTGTTGTTCTTGCGGTTCGGGAAGCACTCGATCTTAAACTTCTGCACCCCGCTCCTCAGTGGCAACCAGCCAGCCCGCATTGCCCGCCCCAAGCCGCGGCATCTCTCATGTGAGTCCGAATCCGTGCATTGCTCTACCCTCTTCCTCCTCATCACCCGCTCTGCGCATCATCGCCTCGTCTCAGCCGCGTTTCGAAGCTCGCTCACGTACCTTCTTGCCTTTGACTAGCAGCTCGAGCTTGACGCCAGCATGCTTTGAGTCACTGAGCGTCTCTTGAACCTCTATGGTGAACTTGTTTTGCCCGTTGATGAGCAGATCGGTGACGGCCTTGACATCGGCCACCTGCATGTGGCTGTTCTCTTCAAACAGCCGGTCATTGACCAAGATGCGGAACTTGGCATCGGTCCCCTCGTACGACAGCTCCGCCTTTTGCCCATCTACCCACAAATCCATCCCATCGTCAACACCTGTGAGCCTCTTGATCGGCCCCTCCACTCCCCCCCCCCCCCCTTCCCTTCCACCGTTCTTCCGCACAACGGACTCTCACGCTCGGCACCCCTCCCCTCCCCCCCCCCCCCCCGCCCCACATCCGCACCTACCCGCAGCTTTAGACGATCCACAACCCATGGCTATTCAATATCCCGCCCTCAAGCGCCAACAGAGTGCGGTGTGCTCTACGCCGGCGTGGTCCTCTCCCTCGGCCCTTTCCTGCTCCGCCGTGCTTGGTTTGGGGAAGGAGTGGGGGGTGCCACTCGCCGCCCCCCACAATTTTTTCGTCCTCCACCCCCCACCCCGGACGACCTTCGTAGATTCCTCCCTGCTCTGCGGGGCGGGTCGACGCCGATTTTCAGCGACAGACAGACGACGGCGAGACGGGGCGGAAGGAGTGCGGTAACAGCCCTCTCTTCCACCCCCCCCTCCTCACCCCCCCACGTCATCCTCCACCCCTCGCTTCTCTCTCTCTCTCTCTTACTCTGACTATGGCAACCGCCCCCTCGGCCGCTCCGGCCGCGCCCCCTGCGCAGCAGACGCAGGTGGTGTGGGCGAGGATGGCGTCGTGGCCGGCATGGCCCGCTCTCCGGCTCGACGCTGTGGACGAGAACACGAACAGCGGCGAGGAGAGCAAGTGGCGGTGCGCGTTCTTTGGCTCGTACGACAACGCTGTCATCACCTCGCGCAACATCAAGCCCTTTGCCGCCACCGACGATGTCTTTGGCCCGGCGTCGGCGTCGACGTCCAAGTCCAAGAAGAAGCCGCGGAAGCGCAAGAAGCTGCTCAAGGCCCTGCGCGAGGCCAAGGAGTTCCTTGCATCGGGCATTGTTCCACAAGTCATGAAGGTCCGCTACTTTCCTGAGCCGTCGCCGCCGCCTGCGTCCGCAACCGGTACGTCCGGCAGCAGCGGCCCCGAGTCGCTCGCAACCGGTGACGACGACAAGCCGGCCGAGAACGCGACAGAACCGGCCTTTACCCGATCCAAGGAAGACATGGAAGGCTTTGAACGCCGTCGCGCGTTCCGGCTCAAGATCATGAGTCGTCTCGGCCTCTCGGCCGTTGAAGAGGTGGTCGAGGGCGACTGGTGCTCGGATCTCATCCGCAAGCCGGGCCTCTCGGCCAACGCGCTCTTCTCCTCGCCGCCTGCCGAGGTCCTTGGCCGCAAGCGCCGGCGCAAGAGCTCGGTCTCGCAAGTCAAGGGCGCTGACGACGACGGTGGTAAGGAAGACTCGCTAGATGACGACGAGTCGGACATTGTGCTCGAGGAGGACGACGACGGGCCGCCGGCCAAAAAGTCCAAGTCGCTCTCGGGCAAGGCAAGCAAGACCAAGGGATCCACCAAGAGCTCCAAGTCCAAGAGCTCCAAGTCCAAGAGCTCCAAGTCGAGCACGGGTAAGCGCAAGCGGGTGCTCATTCCGTGGACCAACGAGGAGTACGAGGCCATCAAGGCCGGTGTCCTCGCTTACCACGGGCCGGAGCGCGGCAAGTGGAACACCATCTACGACTCGATCAAGGACAAACTCCACCCGACCCGCCACGCCGACCATCTCTCGCGCAAGTGGGCCACCTATCGCCGCGCCTTGGAGAGCGCTAACATTCCGGTCCCGCAGTTCAACATTGCCCCAACCAAGCGCGAGATTGCCGAGTCGGCCGGACCCACCATCCAGACGCTCCAGCTCTGGACGGAAGACGAGGTCATGAACCTCATCAATGCTGCCAAGATCGAGGCCGAGCCGCTCAAGCGCCGCTGGCACCGCGTTCTCGCCAAGTACGGCAAATGGTTCAAGCCCTTCCGCCGCCCTTCGGACCTCTCGCGCAAGTATGCCCGCCATCTCGCAAACCGCGACCGGACTGTCACCATCACTGATCCCGACACCGGCGCAGAGTCCGAGGTCCTCTCCGACGTCGCCAAGGCCTGCCTCGAGATTGAGGAGCGTGCCTCAAAGGTTACCACCCCGGTAACCTTTGGCGACGAGTTTGACGTCCCGGAGCTCCGCAACCGCCCTGAGCGTCGCAAGCCCAAGCCCAAGAAGAAGCGCAAGCCGGCCAACCAGAGCAACAAGGGCGACAACGGCAAGAACGATGACAAGAACGATGGCGACGATAATAACGACGATGATAGCAATGGCGGCGGCAACGGCGGCAACGGCGACAGCAAGGTGGTCGGCAAGGTGGCTGACAAGGCCAGCAAGCCCAGCATTGCCAACACCATCCCTTCTGCATTCGCTCGCGCCGCCGCTGGCGCGATGCCGCCTGCCGCCAAGCCCGCCGCGCCCACG